CCGGACTCTCCTGGTGTCCTGTAAGGGGAGCAATGCCCTCATGACTACGCAGATTCTGACTGTGGCCCACTCAACTATCAGGAGGAGAGAAGAAATAAACAACAGGGCCTAAGGCAGGGGACACTCTGAAGTCCTGGACGGGAGGTCCTGCCATCAAAGGCAGACAGGCCGTGAGACAGGCTGTCTTCTTCCCAGGGACTGGGCCCTCCCGCACTCACATGAACAACCAGGGCCCTCTTCTGGCGTGTGTCTGCACAATGAACAAACAATGCGCTGAGGGCTCAAAAACCACACAAAATTTGAGCCAAAACTCGGCCACTGTGCAATATTTCCCTGATAAGCATCTTATGATTTCTCAGGGTAGGAGATAGTAGAGGAAATACTAGTTGTTAATAACTGAATTTCCTTTGAAAACATAACAGGACTTACAAATAAATACCTAACAAATGCTGATTCATCTCAGGCTAGACTCAACAAATATTTAAGAGGCTACCTCGGCTAGACCCTTTGCGCATGCCCTTGACCAATGACGTACATGGCTCTATCACTGCGGAGTGAAGAAGGTCTATTCGATCGCTGGTGCTGGGACAACCGGAGAAGAGAGGAAAATGGGTTTCTACCTCCCATGAAGCACACAAATCAATTCCAAGTGGATAACAGACTTAAAGGTCTGTTAAGCCTCAAAAGGCTAAACTCTCAAACTCTTAGAAGATAACACATCTTCATGACTCTAGAGTAGGAAAGATTTTTTTAAACAAGTCACAAAAGCACCAACCACATAAGGGGAAAAAGGATAAATATACCAAGCCTTAAGAACTTCTGTTTATCAAGACACGCCACAGAAATATATTTACAATCATGTATCCACAATCTAGCAATAATCCATACAAGTCAATAAGGAAAAGATGACTTGATTTAAAAACTGGCAAAAGTATTGAACAGCCTTTCACAAAAGAGGCTGTCCCGGTGGTGGCGCTCTATGAAAAGAGGCCCAGCATCCGTGGTCATCGGGGAAATCAAAACCATAATGAGATATCACGACACAACCACCAGAATGATAGTGATGGAAAAGACAGACAAAGCCGGTGTTCATGAGGATGTGCAGAAATGAAAACTGTTCTACATCGCTAAATGAGTAAATACCTTGGCACAACCACTTTATAAAACTATCTGGCAGTGTGTATCCACACACTGACCTAGCCATTCTACCACACGGTAAATGTACCTAGTAAAAATGAAAGCATAGATCCACCAAAAGAAATGTACAAGAACATTCACGGCATCTTCATTCCTAATAGCATCACTATTCACTCCGTACACAACCCAAACGCCCACCCACAGTAACATGGATGATTCCATTAGTCTACGCAGTGAGAATACTGCATATTCCATATATTACTCTATGTATGTTAGACCTTAATTAAAAATACCAAACAACCAGATTCACAGCTGTAAAGGTTTCTATACTAATACCGCATCCTGAATTCTGAGAAATATTCACAAGCACCTAACTCAAAGAGAAAAATTACACCATTGTACAAGTAATCAATCTTTTCAATTTATATTCCACCTACCTACAAATTAATGACATATTAATAATCTCGGTTAAAAACAAAAAGGCAAGCCACAGAATGAGAGAAGGTATTTGCAGCAAAAATTTCAATATGGAACCCACAATCAGAAACTCTGCAAATGTATTAGAAAAAAACAACATGAGATGAGCGGGCAAAAAACTTCTAAATTTGTACTTTTCAGTATTTTCTAGTTCTTCTGTTGTTAGTAATCTATATTATGTACTACTTTTATTTTTTGAGTTAATTTTTAGTTCAATAATAATACATGAAAATACTTTCCTTGCAAAATATTAGACATTCCAGATAAAATTAAAGTTGACCCTTAATCCTGGTTTCCTCCCTGATACCCAGAGAAAAAGACTGAACTATCTGGTATACCTTTTTTTCCCCTAGATTTTTGTTTTCAATGCAGGGTTATTTTGTGGGTTTATTTTTTGTTTATTTTATATGTATGGCATCACAATGTGTGTCTTGTCCTGCGGTTTGTTTTTTTTTTTCACTGAGTGTTATGTCTTTCAACATTTTCTATGTAGGTATATACAAAGCTACTTGAGCACCTTATTCTTTTTAACTGCTTCCGAGTCCTCCATAAGAATAGATGTCCTATAGTTTAAATAGTCTTTCCTCTGTGGATGGTCATTAAGGTCCCTCCCTCTCTCTCTCCCTCCCTCCCTTTCTTTTTGTGCTTTTAGTACCCCTCTCTAATTAGAAAAGTTGATATGTCATGCCTCATTCTCGTCTCAGAAAGCACTGTCTTGGTTTGCAGATTCCCCTAGTTGTCAAGCACAAAGTACAGCGCCCAGCTCCGGGGAGCCCTAACCCTTGCTATGCTGGCCTCCGCCAGGCCTGGAATCAGTCCTGGAAACAAACCTAAGCTTTCCTTCTTCCACCTCTGCTGCCGATGGGCCCGGGACCTCAGGAGAGTACTCCCCTCTCCGGTTCCCACTGCCTCACGTACGAATGGATGGGGTGGGAACCCAGGCTGTTGAGGCCTCCCTCAGCTCTGAAGGTCTTTTACCCTGAGGATCCTCTTGGCTTCAGTGATATATGCAAGCGACCACCCCGGCAGGGATGCCTGAGAAAAAACTTTTCCTTTCCTTGTATACCCATCAATAAATAGACTGCTTCTTGGAGTTTGTACCGGGGAAGCTTAATTGGTGCTCCCGGGTCACAGCTCCTCACGAAAGAAGGTGCTGAGAGGAGACACGTAGGCACTGGGTTTCCAGGGGCCGGCCCTCCCCCACCTCCGCTCCTCCCGGTGCCCCTGGAGCCTCTCCGCATCTTCCTGAAGCCTTGAACAGAGCAGTGTTTCCTATTCATCTCATCCCTGTGACTTCTGAAGGCTAAGTTGCCATGGCAACTCAGGCCACTGAACCGTGTTCAAAACCTGTTACCATAAAGAGGAACACTTAGCAGTCTCAAGAGTCTATTTAAAGGGGAGCAGAGAGGCAATTACTCCTTATGGAGGGGGAGCAAAACCCTGTGTGTTTCCGAGCCTTTCTGCGGGGAAGGGTCTGAGAGGGCAGATGGGACATGTCCCTTGTAGAGGTGGGGACCCCAGGAAGGAGTCAACCGGCTCACTCACATGGACGAGGAGAACAGTGAGAAGCAGGAATCTCCCGGTTCTGAAAAACTAAGGAGGTATTGTATGGTGACTAACATAACATAATAAAAAAAAGGGGGGGGGCGCCTGGGTGGCTCAGTCGTTAAGCGTCTGCCTTCGGCTCAGGTCATGATCCCAGGGTCCTGGGATCAAGCCCCGCATCGGGCTCCCTGCTCAGCGGGAAGCCTGCTTCTCCCTCTCCCACTCCCCCTGCTTGTGTTCCCTCTCTCACTGTGTCTCCCTCTGTCAAATAAATAAAAAAAAAATCTTAAAAAAAAAAAAGGAATCTTCCGGTTCTTATTCTGAGCTTACTTCTCCTCTTGCTCTACCCTTGCTCTGTCTCCTCCCTAGTTCCTGCCCCCCCCCAGGTGCCTCCTGCCTCCAGGATGATCCCTGGCCCGGGCAGCTGCTTCCAGTTGGTGCATCTCCCAAGCCTGGAAGGGCCTTTCACCGTCGGAAACACAACCCCCCTCACTCTCCACCTCAGGAATCTCCAATGGCTTCCAGCCCAGGCCCGCAGCCACCTGCCTCTCTCAGCTCCTATCTTGTCCCCCTTGCCTCTCCACTCCAGCTCATTCCAGGGTTCTTTCTCTTTCTTAAAGACGTCAAGCTCCACCGTCTGCAAAAGCAGCTCGTCCCTCCCGACACCCATCACTCTCTATCCTGTTTTCCTTTCCATTCCTTTACAGCACGTACCACCCTCTGCATTCCCAGTCTTCGGTTGTTCACTTCTCCGACCGTGCCCCTCTCGGGAGGAAGAATGGTAGTAATTTGTCTCCCTCACCCGAGGCCGTTCACCCACAAAACAGCAGTGCAGCCTCTCGGTCCCCTTTTGCTGAATGATCCTCCCGCTGCCTCCTGAGGATTATGCCTCTCCCTTTCCTTCCAACGCGCCACTGCACCAGTTCCCCCACGGCTTGGGGGCTGTGGACCCCACACAAGGAGGGGAGCAGGCAGTGCAGAGCACTGGGGAGAATGAGAAGGAGCAGCCTCCGCCGCAGCCATGAGGGCTGGTGGGGACAGATGACAGGTCAGGCGGTGAAGGGTGTGCTGCGTCTGCGTGGGCCTGGGAGGTGGGAGCATGGCGAGGCAAGCCTCGGCATGGCATGCTAACTATGACCAGTTGTTTAGTTCTCACTGTATGCACTTTGTACGCTTTCCCTCCTTTCGGCCTCTAAACTACCCTGGGGGAGAATGGCTGCCTCCCATCACAACAAATGCAGAGAGCGCTCCATGCTCTTCCCACAGCCTGGACCCTCGTCCCTGGTTCTTCACCAGGCCAATTCATGGTCATTCTTCCGGTCACCTCCTCAGGGAAGTCCTCCCTCTCCCCCAGGACTACACTAGGTTCTATCTTATGTTCCCGCGAAACCCTGCACTCCTCCCTCCTAGCACTTGCTGGAACATAAAAACACTGCATTTCTGCATAAACACTTGTTCCGTGTAAGTCTCCCTGCTACTGTCCAGGACACGGGCAGGGACTGGCCACCGCCACATCCCCCAGGGCAGCACCTGGCCTGCAGCAGCCCAGCGGTTATTATTTCATGAGTGGATGGAAAGCTAAGCCTGGATGGGTGGCCAAGATCCTGCAGGTGGTGAAGGTGGGCCTGGGAAGGAAGCCAGGTCTATAACGCCTGTGTCTGACTTCCTCCCAGGGTTCAAATGGTTGGAGCTGTGTGAAGGCAGAATGGACATGTAGGGCGTGCCCTGCACAGGAAGAGCATGAGTCGATGCCACAGGGCCTCCCGGGCAGGGGGCGGTAGAGGGGCCTCAAGTATCTGGCTGCGGTTGGGGTCCCCGCTGCCTTTGGGCTCAGGACTCACCAGAGCTTGCTCTATGAGCAGGCAGAAGAGGATGGCATTGCCCACCTCCCTCAGGCTCTGGAACACGTCTGTCTTGAGCTCTGCGTACTCAATGATGTCCTTCAGCTGGTGGTGGAAGAACTCCAGGATCCCTGGGGGACGAAGTTAGTGGTTAGTGGGACGGTTAGTGGGAAACTGACCCTGCTCAGCCAGGATTATGGGAAGTGCTGATTGAACAGCAGTCCCAGACCTGAGCGGGAGAGCGAAAAACCAAACCCATGTCTCTCTCTATCTGGGCCGAGGGTGAGATTTCTTTCAGGGCTCAGTACTAAAGAAAGCTCAGGAGGCTGGCTCAAATCTTTTTGGGGGCAAAACAAACGCACACAAATACAGCATCCCTGGATCTCTCCCAGCCCCTCCAAAAACTGATAATGATCCTGATAATGGCAGGAATTAACATTTATTTATAAATGTTAGGTATTGTGCTAAGCACTCTTCTACAACCATTCATTTAATACTCCTAAGAATACCATGAACTGGGCACTTTTACTCTTATTTTCAGATGAGGCTCAGAGAGGGTAGGTGGCATGCCCATAGTCACACAGCTAGTAAGTGGGGCAGCTGGGATCGAAAACCAGAGCTTTCGAGCGCAAACACTTTTCTCTTCTGAATCACACCCACTCAGCACCTGACAGCTTGGTTTTTAGAAAAAAACACCTGGCACCAAACTCACAGCCTCCATCTTTCCCCAGGCCCCAGATTCAGTCCCTGTACCATTCACTCTTAGGGAAGGAAAGAACGTTTTTTTCTGCCCCGAGGCAGAGTGACAAAAACTCCCGTTTCCTGACTCACCTTGGAAATGTCACTTGTACCACCACCTGTGACACCTGCCTCCCACCAGTGGGCAAATGGAGGCAGGGATCCTAGAGGTGCTGAGTTAGGAAAGACCTTAACAGGAAGACTGTAAAGTGCTCCCACACCTGCTGTCCTCTCTAGCCCGCCAGCAGTCCTGTGAGGCAGGTCCAGCACGCATCCTTTACCTTCACCCGGGAAGATGGTACTATTGCTCAGAGGGATTAGAAATGGGTCAAGGCTATCTAGCTAGTGGCGGCGGCAGGACGCAAACCCAGTGCTGGGCCAGCTTGTCGGCGTGTTAGAGAATCGAACATTCCCAGGGAGATGGCCAAGACCCCTCCCACCATGGGATGGGCCTGCATTATTTTCCTATCACTACCCTCTGCCCCAGGAGCCCCATCACCCACCTGGGGAGCCATACTCGTGTCGGGGCAAGCGGCATATCTTGGGCATCACCTCGATCAGTGTTTTCACGTACTGGAGAATGGTTCCTTGGAGCTGACAAAAGAGGGCAACACATGTGAATAATCACCGCTGCTGTAGATGTGCATCTCTGGACTGAACGCTGGGCTACTGGGGTGTACAGGGTTCTGCTGCGGCCTGTGGGCAAGTGCTATGGACGGAATGTTTGTGTCCCCCCAAATTCATATATTGAAACCCCATCCCCCAAAGTGGCGGTGTGTGGAGACTGGGCCTTCGGGAGGCAATTAAGTCCTAAGAGCGGAACCTCATGACGGGATTCGTGCCCCTGCAAGAAGAGACGAGAGAGAGGTGAGGACACAGTGAGAAGGCAGGCATCTGTACACTCAGAGGAGGGTCCTCACTAGAACCCGCCCCCCCCATGCTGGTACCTTGATCTTGGATGGCCAGCCTCCAGCACTGGGAAAAATCAACATTTGTTGTTGAAGCCATGAAGTCTGTGGCATTCTGTTAGAGCAGCCTGAGCTGCCTAAGACAGGAAGGCACGGCTCCTTGGGAGCGAGGGAGGAGGTTCCCTCCTGAAGGTGGGACACAGCCCCATTCTCCTTTATACAGAAAAATGGGCCTTCATGAGACAGAAAAGAGAGCTGTCTCAGTCCCCTAGGCATACAGACTTCCAGGAGGGCAATTTCTAGGCACGGGGTCTTTCCTGGGGTTGAGGCGCTTACATAGGATCCAGACTGAGAGCTAAAATATCATGGGCCAGGGAGCTGTGGAGAATGAGGCACATTAGCTAATTTAAACACAGAAAATCCATAGGTCTGTCCAAGGCAGACACCTTTAATCCATTATATTTTCCTGTTTAACTCTGGATTTAGCTTCACAATCTCTAACAACTCATGGCTCTACACAGCTGTTACCAGAGGACTGGAGTTAGCAGGTGAATGCTGTTTCCTATTTCTGACATGGTTATTCACCACTTCATTTACTTCTCTTTTGTCATCTTCAAATTTCAGGAAAATCTTGTTTAAATGTGTCAGCTTTGCTTCAGCAGTGTCATAGGGAATTAACTAAAGGTTCTGATGATCATACTTGGGGCGGATATAGAATTCTCTTGAGGCCAGTGCAGTATTGCAAGTGTTTAGCAAGAAATCCCAAGGGAGAGAGGCATGGTGCTTGATTAGAGATGTCTGCCGTGAGCACGGGGCGGGGCGCTGCGCCAGAATGGCGACAGGCATGTCATGGATTTGTCATGCTCAAGTTAAAAAACACTGCATGGGAGGAGAGGATGAGCAGTAATTAGTAGGCCCTAAAGGTCCAAATCAGGATTGCTGAGTTCAGTTATCAAGTACAATGAGTGAGCTCTGCATCAGAAAATAAGAGGCAAAGCCACAAGGTCAGAAGGTACACAGAAATGTCACAGAGCGCTAGGTAAGAGTAACCCAGGGATAAGGGCACAGGACTCCTGGGGTGATTCCTATGGACAGAGGTGAAGGCATGTCCCAGGCCTTATTTTTTTTTTTTTAAAGATTTTATTTATTTATTTGACAGAGAGAGACACAGCGAGAGCAGGAACACAAGCAGGGGGAGTGGGAGAGGGAGAAGCAGGCTTCCCATGGAGCAGGGAGCCCGACGCGGGGCTCGATCCCAGGACCCTGGGATCATGACCTGAGCTGAAGGCAGACGCTCAACGACTGAGCCACCCAGGCGCCCCTGTCCCAGGCCTTATTGAGAGGGTCCTTCCTTACCAAGCTCTTGACGATCTTCAGCAGTTCCTCCATCACCACCGCGATGCCCTGGTAACCCAGGAGTCTGCAGATGGTCTTGAAGTGGGGGGGACCCACGAAGTTCCTGTAGGAGCTGTAGATGTGGCTATAGGCAATGTTGAGAGGCTGGAAGACAGAGGTTGTGGCAAAGTAAGAGGCTGGGAAGTATATGAATGCCGGCAGGAGTCCCAGAGGAAGATTTTTTGCTGCTAAAAGGGACGAGAACCTGACATCCTCCGCAATCTCTCACTGGGGACCCCTACAAATATGTCTGCAAGAAGATGGTCACGGAGAGAGGTGTGGTCAGTGATCGCAGGGTGGCGCAAAGGCCACTCCATGAATAGCGGTCCCCGGCAGAAAAGGAAGACGGGCTTCCAGGCAAGTATCTTTTTTACAGGCACTCCTGCCACCGACGAACTAGGACTTGGGCAAATTGAGGCATGGGGTGGTGGTAAAACAGATGATTTTGTTTTTCTAGAGACATCTTTGGTACTAGAAACTGGCTGGAAGAACCGTGTGGAAACTCAGTAGCTGACTCAACATTGTCTCCTTCTACTTTTCCTTGTCTCCATTTATAACGGGTGGGACTCAGGAGACCTGTGCTGAGTGCCTGCAAATCACTAAAGCTCTTTTGAGCCTCAGTTTCTTCATCTATGAAATGAGGGTGCTGGATTAAATCAGGGGTTTCATAACTTTTCAAAGAGCGGTCCAAATGAAAGGTGTCATGGAAGCTGGTGTGGGAAACAGACAAAAGCAGAGTTGCTCTGTTTGGCTGCTGGTTGAGGGCCCAGGGCCCTGGCCACTGACCGGCCACTTCCATTATCCTCTAGACTCCATGACACACCTTCACCGAATTCGTGGAATTTAAGATCTTTCTGTCTGGGAATATGTGACTAAAATATAGGGCCCCAAGTTGGTTTCACTTGGTTGGTGAGTTACAGTTGACTTTATTTTTGAAATGCTGCTACTTACAGAACACCTCATGGCAGGCTTTGTGAAGCCCTCCATGTGTGTTCTTGTTCAATCTTCACAACACACACATGCGTACAGACAATTCTTAGCCCCATTTCACAGATGAGGGGACTGAGGTTCAAGGTAGTAAGGAGCTTGCTCAAGGTCACACAGTCCTTAGATAATCGAGCCCCTACCTGAATCCAGAGAGGTCTGATTCCAAAGCCCATGTTCTTCACCTCAATATATAATGGTGGGCTTTGGAGGCTGAATTCTATTGGAAACCATACCTCGTTTCTTAGATAAGGTATCACTTCGAAGCTTAATTCTGAGTGTAGTTTCCTACCTGGAATTGTAAAAATCTTCTACATGGAGCATGCAAATATATAAAGACCACATCTGATATTTTATTAGCCGGAAATTTTCTATTAGTTGGCTAATTAGAAATTCTACATAAATTAAATAGGAACTGTACTGATGCTTTTGGAGGACGTAAGATTCTCAACTCCCTTTGGAGCCATTGAAGGAAGATTTAATTATGTTCGGTCTAGGCTTTGCAGTAAGTATGTTCTACTATATATGAATTCTAAACTTTACAACTCAAGTATCACATTCATAGTACTCTCTAATAACAAGGATACATGAAGAATACAATTAGAGTACCCACTAATAATAAAAACTCGTGAGGAATCAGAACACCCCTGCATCCAGCAGGCTGAATATCTCATTTGGTAAGGTAATGCCTACATATGGCGAGGCTTGGAACGTGAGAAGGAGCAGCACTCTGCACCCAATATTGATGTGCTGTCACAGTAAATTCTACTGGAACCTGGGGGAGGGATATCTTCTACATAGTTACTAGAGATTTCTAAATGTTATGAGGCAGGGAAGGTTCATGTAGGGAGGGAAATGTAACTGATTGAAACGTATGATGTTCACCGAAGTCAATGTTCAACAAACCCTGGAAGTATATGAATGACTTGTTGAGTTTGATTCAGCCGATTATGTGCCCAGGCTGGGCACTTTCTGTGTAAGAAAGTAAACCATTTCAGTGTCTCTGTAACAGGCCACCTATCAGACAGGGCTGGGACAGGGTGAGGTGAGATGCTCTTTCTCCTAAGTGAGTGCATCTTAGCTCTGGCCCTATAATCAAAGCCCTACTCTAGTATTCTCCTGTTTCCAGCATTAGGGATGAGGAGTATATAGCAAACACCATGGCTGACTTCTGGTTGGAGAAGGAGACTGATGAGAAAGGGGCGGGAGAGAATTGTCTAGGTGATGGAAATGCCCCAGCTGCTTGGGTTGTTGACTACACAGATAGATGTATACGTTTATCAAAACTCATGGTACTAGATGTACACTTATGATCTGTGTATGTTATGGACTAAATGGTTGTCTCCCCTCAAAATTCATGTGTTGAAATCCTAACCCCTGCTGTGATGGGATTAAGAGTGGGACCTTTGGGAGGTTAGTAAAGTCATGAGGGTGGAGTCCTCGTGAATGGGATTAGTGCCCTTGTAAGAAGACAAACAAGGGCTTGTTCTCTCTCTTTCTGCTCTCCATCATGTGGGATACAGTGAGGAGAAGGCTATCCGCAGGCCATCAGGTGGGTCTGGGCCAGACACCTGATCTGCTAACGCCATGGTCTCAGACTTCCCAGCCTCTAGGCAATAAATAAACGTTTAAGCTACTCAGTCTATGATATTCTTGTTACAGCAGCCTGAACTGATTAAGACTGTGCAACTTCCTGTATATGATTATAACTCAATATAGAAGTAAATTTAAAAAACCCACTGGGCCATACCATGGCCAATTTACTTCCCAACATTTGTTTTCAAAGATTAAAAAACAAAACCATGATTTGAATTTTCTCCTGAAAAGGGCTGCACAGGAACAAGGGAATGACGACCTGGCTGTGCTAGGGGCATGTGACAGAGCTTACTGATTTCTAGAACCACCTTCTCATCCCCGCACCCACACCAGGCACTCTGGACCTCTCCTCAGAACCCAGTAAAGCTCTGAGCATTTCTCCTTCACCCCTTCTCAAATATCTTATGAAAGGAATTTCTGAGCAGCAGGGCACTTTCAAATGGGTATCCCTGAAGGGCACAAAAGCAATCAACTACCTCTTCTTTTTTTTTTTTTTTTTTCTGTCTGATTCTCTGACTTTTTGTCTTGCTTTGTCTGATTCTAGAGGATAGACTCTGGGGTGGGTGTATCTGAGTTTGAATCCTAGGTCCACAAATTTACTAGCTAGATGATTCTGAGCACATTACTTAAACTCTCTAAGCCATGGTTTTCCCTAAGTAGAGATAATAATTTGAACTCCAATGGGGTTGCTGGAAGTTTCTTTATTTTTATTTATTATTACCTTTTACGTAGGCTCCATGTCTAGCACGGAGCACAATGTGGGGCCTGAATTCAGGACCCTGAGATCAAGCCCTGAGCAGAGCTCAAGAGTTGGGTGTGTTGGGCGCCTGGGTGGCTCAGATGGTTAAGCGTCTGCCTTTGGCTCAGGTCATGATCCAAGGGACCTGGGATTGAGTCCCACATCGGGCTCCTGGCTCAGCGGGAAGCCTGCTTCTCCCTCTCCCTCTGCCTCTCCCCCTGCTCATGCTCTCTCTCTGTATCTCTGTGTCTCAAATGAATAAATAAAATCTTTAAAAAAAAAAAAAGAGTTGGGCGCATAACCAGTCAAGCCACCCAGGTGCCCCTGGGTGTTGGAAGTTTAGATGAGATAACACATATATAAAGCCCTATGTGTGGTGCCTGGCACATTGGATGCACTCACTGCAATTAATATTCCTTCGTTTGATAATTTGGTAAGTGAAGATGAAGAAAATACAGATTCTTGGTCAATATCCCCCAGCAGCGTTGGCTACAGTCACAGTTCTCTGAATGTGGAGAGGGGAGTGCACGCGTGGGGTACAATTTTACACAACACATGGCATGTCCCACATGGGGATGGGACAGAGATCATAATAGCTGGGACTAGCTGATGGAACACATCAAAAATGCAGATTGTGCTCCATATTGACAACACTCTACAAATGGGAGCTGTCCAACAGACTGTGTTGTTGGACTGCCAGTGTCCCAGTGGAGGCTGAGAAACAGTGTTGCTAGAAGGGAGGCCAGCCTGCGCTCAAGGTTGGATAGATGTGCTTACTCCCCTTCAGAGCCCCTGGCTGCCGTGCTGGCTTCCCGGGAGCCCCTCCTTAGCAGTCTTAACCTTTACTCCCACCCAAGGAGCTTCCAGGACCAAGTCTTCCTTAACACGTGTGGCGAGTGCAAATAAAAATATATTCCGGTAGATGGAAACTGTTCGGCAGCCTCCCCGGTTCTGGGCTGAGAAGGAGAATAATTTTGGGATCGTTTTACCACACACACAGGGGTGTAAAGAATTCCTCTTACACACCCGCTCAGGGCACAGAAGAGGCCTCTTGTTGAGGTGCCGACATCAGGCTTGGATTTTGGTCAAGACCAGAAATTTAGGTCTCCGGCGATGGCCCACACTCAGGAAGGACCAGCATGAAATGAGCAGAATTCAAGTCCTCCTAAGTGAATAAGCTCCCCTGACTCCCCTCACCCCCCAAAATACACCAGAGCCATGCAAGAGGAAGCACACAGGCATGTTGCAAAGTGCATGCACACACACACACCCCCGCAGGGCACCCATCTGACCTGCTGGCTCAATAGGAGGCTGGGCCCTATTGAGAAAATGTGGGAATATGGGAGCCTGGCCATTTTCTGAGGTTTGGCAAAGAAAAACAGGAAGGCAACAGGACTTGAGACATTGGAAACTTGCTACACATCTCTTACACCGAACCGATCTTGCTGACTCACATCAAATCCAACTGGCCTGCCTTACAAACTAATCATGTACCCTATTTAGGATTTCTCACTTCAAATAAGCTTGTTTAAATCCATAATGCACAAAATAGCTAACTTTGTGAGATCTCAAGAAATAATCCTGATTCAGAAACTAGAACCATATTTTTAATAGGTGACATAGATGTGCATTTTTATTGTATTATTTTTTAAAAGGCAGGACAGTATTTTAAGGAGAGAAGATAAGGTGAGTTTGATCTGGCAGATCCTGGGCCCTGTAATGTATTATTATATGTATTAAAAAAAAAAAACCTCCTGTAATGTATACATCACATAAAAGTGACCAT